AGTTTATTCAATGGTACAAAATCATCAAAACACCAATAATTTGTTTGATACAAAATCATCAAAACACCAATAATTTGTTTGATACAAAATCATCAAAACACCAATAATTTGTTTAAATATAATATTCCTTTTTTACATTCATACTATGATTATCTAAAGAAGTTTTTAAATTTCAAACAAAGTATCAGAACTTTTGAATTGTACAGTTTGTAATGGTACGAAGTGGCCGTAAAAGTTATCACTATTTCTTTCTTTTGTAGAATAATGGCTTAAATTTGCCTTCTGGAGTTCATACCTCTTTTCAATGGAATATTAGGATGACACGATTCTAATACTAAACAAAAATGTAAGAGTTTCTGAGTAATCCATGAAAGAAGTCAGTTGCATCCAGTCGGTGTTTTTTAGGATGATAGGATTAAGAATAATGGACAACAACTCAAACATAATCATTCTGCACGTGGACTAATTGTTGTTGTTTTTTTGTGCTATAAAAATTTAACCAGGGATGAAGAGAATTTGGACATATGTTTTGGAAATAATGAAAAAGATGGAACAAAACTGGTCAAAAAAAGATCATGATGAAGGTAGTGACAGGAATAAAAAATAACAGGAGGCCGAACTGAGGACTGGGGATGGAAAAAAGTAATGAAAGTCCAAAAGGACTGGAGGAACCAAGAAGGGTGGAAATGAAGAAGATGGAAGATGATACGATGAAACATATCTGAAAATGTGAACATGCACAACGAAAGAGCTTTGGATGTATGGAAATGAAAAAGATCGGATGTATAGAAGACGAGAGGAAGTTGGAGAGTATGGAGTAAATCTGGATTTGTGAAAGGATGCAAAAGGGAAGGAAACAAGGAAGTTGGAGAATGTGGAGTAAATCTGGGTGTGTGAAAGGATGCAAAAGGGAAGGAAACAAGGAAGTTGGAGAATGTGGAGTAAATCTGGGTGTGTGAAAGGATGCAAAAGGGGAGGAAACAAGGAAGTTAGAGAATATGGAGTAAATCTGGGTGTGTGAAAGGATGCAAAAGGGGAGGAAACAAGGAAGTTAGAGAGTATGGAGCAAATATGGGTGTGTGAAAGGATGTAAAAGGGAAGGAAACAAGGAAGTTTGATAATATGGAGTAAATCTGGGTGTGTGAAAGGATGCAAAAGGGGAGGAAACAAGGAAGTTAGAGAATATGGAACAAATCTGGGTGTGTGAAAGGATGCAAAAGGGAAGGAAACAAAGACTTTTCAGGAACTAAAGAGAAAAAAGAAGGAAGGATAAAAAATGGATTTGAAACTGATAAAAAAAGATAAACAAAGAGATACGTAAATAAAGAGAGGGGTTTGAAAACGAAGAAGAAGAGATGAAAACTAGTGTTGTGAACTGAATGATGATTGTAAGTTTGACCACATGGAATATATCCGTACAGTACCTTTTTGAAATAACAATGTTCTAAGCAATTATTCATTATTATTATTATATTTTATGTTATTATTTATAGATATAACAATAAAAATAATAACAATAAGAAGGGAAATAAACTGGTATAACGGCTTGTGCTTTGAATGTTTTTTTTTTATTTACGAATGAAATCTTCACGTTTATAAAATTACTAACAGACCACTGAGGGACGTCTTTACGTCTACTAAGCAAAGGTTCTTCAAAATAAAAATAAAACTGAACATTTCCGTATGGAAGTTGTCGGAAGAATTGGGAAAGATAATGAGCCCACAAAATTTGAAAATACAGTTTACTCAAGAAGACTAATTAAAAATGTAAATGTCATATATCTAGAAATTGAAACTTCTTAGTTCAGTCGAAATAACAACGGTTTATGTTACATCTCACTGAAATAAAGACCGGAAACCACTCTTAACGAACACAGTAATGTTCATACTTACCAATCCGGATATGTAATAATAGAATGTTTTATTAGGCCTTCTTAAAGCTAAAGACAACCTGAATAGGAATGAAAATATTAGTCCCCCGGTGGGTCAGTGGAAAGTTTACGGACTTGCGATGCTAAAATCTGGGGTTCGATTCGCTCCGGTGGACAAATTGCAGGTATCTCGCTGTGTAACTTTGCATTGAGAAAGCAACAAAAATGATATAATAATACAGTGTAAAAAAAGTAATATTATAACCCAGTGTGCACGTAAAAACATAGTTCTTTCTCTGGCTGAGAGCATATAACGCCAAAAATCGGGATTCGATACCCGCGGTGAGCAGACATCCCATTGTGTAGCTTTGTGCTTAACAAGAAAAAAGAAACAAACTGACAGAATGATGAAAATGTTAATATTTTCATTCAGTATTACTGTTTTGTTTCAATCCTGTATTTCATGTATATTTAATATGTTGGAAACAAGTTATACCTGGGACACAATATCGTTCTTCGCAGACGGCATTGTTCAGAATAAAAAGGCTTAATATACACACACACAAGCATATATATAGTAAGTAGACTTATCAATATTCGCTTCCACTTTTCAAACAGTAAACATCTTTGTATTCAGTTATTAACTGATTTTACTTAGGTACAATTTGGGACTCGATCAAGGAGAAGAGACTTCTCTGGTCGGTAAGTCTTGTATCTTTAGGAGCGGTTTCATGTTTTCTAGTTCTTTCCGTAAATCGCCAACGACATCCCGAAAATGCAAGGAATCCATGTTTTTGGCCAGTAAATCTAGTAGAAACCAATCACCCACTTTACATTGTTGGATGATAAACTCAATGTCTCTTTCATCAGCAAGGCGAGATCGGAATCTGAGAAGTAAGAGGCGAGGACGAGGCCAGATGATGATGGCTACCCTGTAGATCACCACAATGCTGGATATGACAGCGAGGAAAAGAAACCAGAACCACAAGATGATATAGATTTTTTCGTTCAAGATATTAAGTGGCAGGAGGCAGATTGCATCGTGACGCTGGACATCGCCCGACGATCCGTATCGATGGAAGGTACACTTCGTTAATCTGGGAAACACCTTGACCATTGGGTCCACTCGATGTTCTTGCTCCATTTCTGAAAACTCTAAAACTCGTGTACCGTACGTGGTGAACTGACCACCGAGAAAGGTGTCCATCAAATACATCTGACCAACTACATTGATACAGTTCATGACCTCACTGACAAAGTAGTAAAAGAAATACATCTCGTGGTTATTGAAATTTTCTTTCAAGTAGAGAACCAAAAGGGTTTTTGCTTCATTCTTCTTGTCTGCGGTCAGAACGGGAGTGTTTAAGTCCATAACAAGACTCTTAACTCTACTGCCTTCCCAAGCTTTCCATAAGTACCGGGGAACGTAGAAAAGAATAGCTTGAAGAAAGAGGACAAAACAGACCCACTGGTAGTACCTGTGATACACCCTATCTTCTCCGGGAGTGTATTTGTCTACTCCAGGAGCGGGGATCTCTACCCCTACTTTTTTATGTAGAGCGCCTGGGAGGGTGAAGGTGGAATGAATCCAACAGTAAGTGTCCAGTAGCTCGTGGGGAATATCATCATTACTTATACAGTCAATCGGATCCCCAAATAACTGCGAGCTGGTGATTAAGAGACTCAGACCGGCTAACATTAACACCGTGACTTTATAATGTAATCGGAAAACATTGTTATCAATACAACAGGGATCAATCTTCAGCACGCCCTTGAGGGATTCAAATAGATCAAGAAGCATTGTGATTGGTTTGAATTCGTTTTTTTTTCCTCAGAAGTTTCACTATTGAATACAATCCGTATTAAAATTGGTACTACAGATCTTTCTTCTGTCTGCACTCCCTCTTCACCTGTATTTCAGTCAGTAAAGTTTTACGATAAAACTATCAATGGAGGTAAATATTTTAATTTCACACTTACTGCATTAAGCTGTGAAGAAAGATCTGTCTTCAAACTTTCAGGCCCATTAATTAAGTGGCATAATTACCATAGTACGTGATACACTATTGCCCCTCTAGAATATAAATGGTCTGCCCTTGCTTTGACACTATTGGTTGAGTAAACGATTATAATATTCAGTGTCTAGGGCGACCTCGTATATGTATTACTGAAAATATTACGTCACATGGTTTCGACGTCTGTATTTCTTCACTGAATAGTTTAACGTTAAGGTTTTCTGAAACAAAAACGTAATGGGAATTAATAATATAATGTGAGATTAGGCTAGAATGACGTAATCATAACAAGTGCGCGCGTTTTAAAGCTTTAGAAAATTAGTACAAAAATATTTGTTTTATATACAAGCTAGAAGAGTTAGGCACTGGCGAAAGAACAACCCCCAACTCCTACCGGGGTTTTGTCCTCTGGAACTGAGAAACGCTGTAACTTATTATTATTATTATTAAGCAACATTAAAGTTAGTTATTTCTCGATATAAGGTATTGTTCAATTCAGACTTTTTAAATTTTTGTAAAAGACGGTCCTGCCACCTTTCGGTTATTGTGAGAAATATTTTTTTATTATAAAAAAATGGTTTACAGAAATAAACAGACTCGAGAGCATGTCTGTAAAATGTTGCTAAGTCATCACGGTTGCGCACCACTAAAGGTACAGTACGTGTATTTACAAACAGAGTTTATAAGAAAAAAAAGTACTCTTAATCTATAGGGCGTCTCTATTTCAAGAGAACAAGTTTGTTTTGTTTTTGAATTTCGCGCAAAGCTACACGAGGGCTATCTGCGCTAGCCGTCCCTAATTTAGCAGTGTAAGACTAGAGGGAAGGCAGCTAGTCATCACCACCAACTATTGGGCTACTCTTTTACCAAGGAATAGTGGGATTGACTGTGACATTATAACGCCCCCACGGCTGAAAGGATGAGCATGTTTGGTGGGACGGGGATTCGAACCCGCGACCGTCAGATTGGAAGTCGAGTGCCTTAACCACCTGGCCATGCAGTATGTAAGCTGTTATATACACATATATAAAATACTGACAACAAGGTTTTTAAACTTAAGTAC